CTCCCGCACTTCTGACTGTACCCAGTACATGTATAAACAAACAAACAAACAAACAAATAAATAAATAAATAAACATGCCTCTATTAAAAAAAAAATATGCAATACATTGATTACATTTATAAAAATAATTCTCTTTCTTACTTGTAAAAAGCAGGATGCAAAGAACAACTTAAAGCTGGCAGTAAAGTGAGTTGTGGATAAGAGAGACACAGGGACATGGACCAGAAAGGAAGCTGGGCTGAATGTCACCTGGCGGGAGCAGGGCCAGGGCAGGTAGGGTGTTGCCGGCCACCAGGGCACCTGAGGAGCAATGCCAGTCACGTGGCCGGCAGGGGAGGCCCAGGCTCTGGGTCTAGACCTTACTGTGAACCAAATTCCTGCCCTCACTCGTCTGGGGTGTAGACCTCAGAGGAGCCATATGAATCCATCATTATTTCAAATCTCTCCAAACAAAGCCCCAGAATATATTCCCTACGATTTCACTAAAAATGTGTGATTAGTAAATTATTTGTAAAGCACATTCTAAATAAAACATGTTACATAACTGCTAAATATTTGCACTGAAGTGTTAGGAGCTGTGTCATGTTGGAGACTGCAGGTGGCTCAGAACGGACTCCGGGAGGACAGTGCTTAGCCCCCTCAAGCTACCCTTCGGAACAGCTCCGCGCCCTGAACCCAGGAGCACACGGGGTGTCCCAAAGAGCAGAACCCACCCCCTTTAGACAGTGTCTTGTGAAACTAAGTTTTAAAGTAGGCGGTATACTCAAATACACACACACACACACATACACACACCCCCGAGTCAACCACCTCTGAGGTTAAGCCTTATGAGTCCATGATCTTTGTAGCTTTGTGTTACTAATCTCTGAATCGTCATTTGATTTCCCATCTTCAAAAGTGAAATGATCCTAACATTAACATAACATTAATACCAACACTGTCACCACTTGTGCAGAGTGGAAAAGTAAATTGTCATGTGTAAATACCGACGCACTCAGCTAAGCCTTCTCACGGATGACAGCTATCAACGCTGACCCCGTAGCGAAAAGCAGGGTTAACAAATGACTGACCTGAGACAGCACCCTGAAAATGCAGTGTTTGTGGAAAATCATGACATCTCAGGAAAGAGAAGGTGTCTGGGTGTCTTGTCTGCAGGTGCTCACCCCTCCTGCCAAGCCCCCGGGACACCCGAGCTCCCCTGGGCCGGGCAGAGCCTGGAGCCCCGTGGAGCTGCTGGAGGAGATGTGTGCAATCTGGAAGCAAGCGTGAAGAACCTCCAGGCTCGGCGGTACTGTCAATATCAGCAGCAGTTCCGCTTGCAAAAGAACAGAGAAGACCGATCCAGTCAGAAGCCCTGCCGCTGTGGCGTGGACGCAGGGCACTTGCGGGGCCAACTGTCCAAGCAGTACAGAGATCCAGCGGGCGGGGGCGGCCCATCCCGACAGCCCCCACGCCTCTGCTTGGACAGGCTGTGCACCCACAGAGCTGAGCACACATCTGCCTGGCGGGGAGTCTGTGGACAAAGAAGGGAGATGCAGGCACCCATGAGGAGGAGGCCCACCAGGGCCAACTCAAAACCTGTGGGGGCAGCCGCACTGCACACCCCTCCATCAGCCTCAGGAGCCAGGAGCATGAGCACAGCAGCCGCTGCTGCCCACGGGCCACGTGACACAGGCAAAGCGCAAGAGGGAAACACGCTAACAACGCCGACATTCGCTGTCAATCATGAGGGACTACAAAGAATTGGTCCAAATAAACTATTTAAAAACAACAAGAACCACAGCAACAACAGTCTGGGGCTAAAATAAATCAGAATGAAGCTTTGCTATGACGTTACCTAAAATGTGGACTTTACAGCAAAAAAGTAGGAGCCATACAAACAAATGGGAAAATGTGAGCCTCACTCAGAAAAGAACAAAGCAGTAGAAGAAACCGCCCCAGACAGTGGGCAAGCACAAAGAGAGTAAAAACAGGCGGCCGCAGGGACACCAGGTGCGCCAGGGCATCTCAGCAGCAGAGCTGCGGAGCAGAAGACCGACCCCACCCAGGTCGTGAGCTCAGGAACCACAGGCCAGGGACACAGGGCCAGCCCCGGGGGAGGCTCAGTGCATCAGCACTGGGGTGGGGACCCAGGGGTGGGGCTGGGGAAGGGAGGGGACCGAGGAAGAAGGAAAAGTCCACAGAAACAATGGCTGAAAACTTCCCATATTGGAAGAAAAAACAAACCTACAGATCCACAAAGCTTAACGAACGAGGCGGGTAAGCGAGCACATGTGCGTCAACGGCTGAACATGAAAGGCACAGCGGACGCCAAGGCCGCACGGCGAGCAGCGGCTCCTCCTCGAAGACACCGGGGCCAGGGAGCACCAGCAAGCCTCTGCCTTCCCTTCGAGAGAAGAGTGGCAGCCAAGTACTCCATAAACTGTCCCAACAAGAACAGAACAGGTTTTTTCTTGATTGTCGGTCATAAGAAAGGCCCACGCGACCCTTCAGGCTGGAAAGAAACGGTGTCAGCAGCATCTCCATCCGCAGAGGGGAGGGAAGCACGACAGAGCGGAGCCAGCCTTGGGGGTGATGAAGCCCTGAGCTGCGAGCCCATACGGAGACACAGACCCTAAAAATCATCAGGAAACCAAATCCAGCAATGTATAGAGGGGGTCGTATGTCAACCCCCAAGGGATGCACCTAGGAATGCAAAGCTGGCTTGACATCCGAGCATGGACTAATGCACATGCCGTTATGTAGACAATAAAGGAGAAAATCCATATGAGCAACTCAAGGGTGGGAAAAGCTCTGGAAAAATCAAGCTCTCATTCCGGGATAAAATGCTCAACACCCAGGAGCAGAGGAGCTTCTTCAAACGACAAAGGGCAGTAACAAAAGACCTGCAGCTCACACCGAACTCACCACCTCCACTCAACAATCCCCCGAAAGCACCAGTCGGGGCAATAAGGAAAATGAGATAAAGTGTAAAATTAAAGGTATTCAGATTGGAAAGGGAGAATTAAAGCTTTACTATAGATGGCAGGATTTAGATATACAAAATACTAATGACTTCATTAACACGCACACAACCCCCAGTACTGACACACCCATCCGTCAAGGTCACAAGATACAAGGGCAATACATAAAATTCAACTGCATTTCATATAATACAAGCATCTGTAAATGAAATTTAGAAAATAATACAATATAATATTTAGAAATAACTTCAATGGAAGAGCCACAAGAAAGTACCCTGAAAACTATAAACTACTGCAGAAATTAATGAATAGTTTAAAAAAAAAAAGTGAAGAAACATTTCATTTTAATGGATTAGAAAACTCAATATTGTTAAGATAAAATTATGCCCCAAACTAATCTACAGATTCAATACACTCCCTAGCAAAATCCCAGGGGACCTTTTTTGTAGACATTGATAAGTTGATCCTAAAATATATAGAGAAATGCAAAGGAGCCTGAGTAGGCAAAACGATTTTGAAAAAGAAGAAGCAAGTTGGAAAAGTTACACAACCTGGACTTCGTCCCGTGAGGCAAGGGGAAGGGGGTGGCAGGGGACAGGGGGTGGCGGAGGACAGGGGGTGCAGAGGACAGGGGGTGGCGGAGGACAGGGGGTGGCAGAGGATGGGGGTGGCCAACCATCCTGGCGGGCGATTCCACCAGGGACAGCCTTTGGGACGACTGGCTATCCACACAGACCAAGATGGATCTAGGGCGCAGCCTCACAACGTACTCAAAAATTAACTTAAAACGGATCCCAGACGAAAACGAGAGCTACTAAAATACTGAGAAAGAACCAAAGCGGACAATCTCTGTGACCTTGGTCAGCCAGGGCCAGGGCAAGACAGCGTCCTTCCTCCTGGAGGGCGGCCGGGGCACGGCTACCCCAGCCCTGTCCACCGAGACCAGCTCTCGCGGTGGCTACGAACCCTGACGCCTCCCGCCTCTCCCGCCAGAGGAGCTGCAGAAGGAGCCCCCGATTCGACAGGTCGCATCTGTCTCCCGCACTGAAAGCTGTCTTGAAAGGCTGTCTTGAAACCAAGTGAATGAATGACTATCATACTGGCTGTTATCGTACTGTTAAGTATTCCCCGAGTGAAATATTTAACACGACCCCACACCCCGGCTTTTCCAAGTCAATCAAGAGGGAAACAGCCACTCCCGACAAATGCAAGCTCCCCCCCAGACACTGTCATCACGGCGCACGCGGGGGCCGCAGTCCACCCGCCAGGCAGCCCCGGTCAGGAAGGGCTCAGCCCCGACAGCCGTCGGGCAGGTGTGAGGGCTGCCTGCTCTAAAAAGCCCGAGTGGACAATATTTCTGTTTATCTAGAACTGGCACATGATACAAAAAGAGACGAAAAGACCTACATTGTGCTTTCTAGTGGAGGCTGCGATATATTTGATTCTCAGCGACATCGAAGTGTCTGAAAAGGTGTAAAGAGACCATGAGCTGGTCACAAAACACAAACCACCTGGCAGCCAGGCAGCCACGGCAGGCCCGCCGCTCTGCTCCTCGGGGGCTGAACCTGGCATCGTCCTGGCCACGTGGCACTGAAATCACCTGCTGGACTCTCTGTCCCCCACCCCGGGGCGGGGCTGTTTCTATCTGCGCCCAAGGAGCACAGACGCCTGTGCGTGCACCTGACCCCAAGCAGGGGCCTGGCCCCTGGAAGGCCCTCGGGAGCCTGGGTGCAGGACCCAGAGCGTGGAGGTGACCGTGGTGTCTCAGGGACGCCGAGGCAGGGGGCGCGCAGCTTTCAATAGCGACTGTGCACTCCAAGTTTTCCCACTGCGTGGCTTTAAGCCTTATTTAATCTCTTCAAAAAACTATGGCCGCCAGTACGAAGAAGGATATTTCCAAGTCGCTCACTTCCAAAGGCCCATGAGCAGCCCATTGTCACGGCAAATGACAATTACAGGTAAGAATGGTCAAGGATGAAAACACAGGGAGGGCTGCAAAGCACAATGAACAATCCGGAAGAGTGTAGGTGTACGAACAGGAATGAGGAACTTCTTGATCTCCTCCAGGGCGTGCCCCATGCGGGCGTAGGCCTCGGCGGGCGGGGCGAAGACCTCGATGAGCACGTGCAGGTCGTCGTTGAGGTGGAAGTACTTGGCTTCTCCACTTTTCCTCAGCTCTTCCTCCTGAAGAAGGAAACATCACATTGAAGAATGAGTCACTGTAAGAAAAAGGGAAGGCTTGTATACCCCAAGCTCATTCGTATGTGGTTGTCCCAGAAAGTTCATTGAGGAGCAAACGCCACCCTGAGGACCGAGTCTGCAGCAGACGTGGGCTCTGCCGTCCTCAGGCCTTATGGGGCATCTGAGAGCTCCTGGGGACCCCATCAACCCCCGACCCTGCCTAGAGCCCGTCATCAGCCCTGTCCCGCCAGCTCTGGTTCTCCTGCCTGGGTGTTCTCTCGGCTGAGCTCCAGGTCGCTTCTGCTGGCGTGACGCTGTCTGCCTGCGGCTCAACTCGAGCCTTTCCACCAGCCCCAGGGCAGTCCCTTACTCTGTGCTACTTCCTCTCACTGAAAGGTGATCACCGTGGAGCAGCAACCACAGCTGTCTTGTCTGGGGCTAGAGTCTCATGCCTGGAAAGTGCTGGGTATACAGCAGATGCTCAACAAATATTCACTGAGTGATCAATGAGATGTTATTCTTTCATTTCTTCGTTCATTGGCTCATTCACATACTCACTGACTACACACCAGGCTCTATAAGGTAAGGATAAAACAGTGGGGAAAAATGCATGCGAGATGCTATTATGCAGTTTTGTGATTATGATAAATATTTTTCAGCTTGTTTACATAATGAAATTCAGGGGGAAACTTGAAGGAAGAAAACCAGGGTGCTCGGCCTGCTGGCTCTGCTCTGCCCGCTCTGCCTCGCTAGCCCCACCCCTAGGGTGGCAGAGGAGAATGCAAGTCCTCAGTCTTTGTTCCCAACACTAACTTCAGACAGGTCATGTAGGAATCTCCACTAAAGCCACTTCCATAGAGTAGGCACCTTTCTGGCCTCTCCAAAACCCGACGCTTTAAAACACAGAGCACCCTAGAGCCCCTAGCAAGGACTCTTGATTTCACCACTAGCCAAGAGGCCAAGGAGGCCCAAACCCTCGACTTCACCCATAAGGTGTCAGCTCAACTAATGTGAATTCTGACAAAGGGCGATCGGGAGGCAGAGCAGGCAAGGGCCGGCACAGCCAGACACACCAGTGATCAAACACGCACAGACAGCCTGCATAGGGTCCCCACACTTGCCCCGCCAAGTCTGTCTGATGCTAACAAGCGCTTATTAGCCCAAGGCCACTAAGTACCTGAAGGCCCAGCTCCGTGCCATTGCCTGGCCAAGCGGACAGTGCAGCACTGTCCAGCCCACTGCCCGGCTCCAGGCCCTTCTCATTTACTGAGAGTGACTAGAAAATGAAAGACGGACGACCCTGCAGTAGGGAGAGCAGACACCAGCGACCACGCTGCCTACACGCTTCCCCTGAAATCCGCCTTGTATAAAACGCAGGGTGGCTGAACCCCAAATACAGGCCTCCTCACTGTCCGAAACACGATGTTCTCAGCCCTGGGGTCTATTCATCACCTGCCTTCACAGCTGAACTTTAAAAAATTTGACTCCATGCAAAGTAGTCCAACTTTGAAAGTATGAACTAACGAAATGAATTTTTTTCCTAATATGATACATTAATACTTCTAAAGAGAGAATACTGATCCATAGTCAGGCAGTTTGGTTTCTGTCACCAACTTCCACAGCATTCATAGCTCAAATCCAGAATTTCCTCTTTCCCTTTGGGGGAGTGACTTTATCTCATCCTGAAGGGGGGATTTTAATGGTGATAATAATAGGGTACCACCTGCTCATTGACGGGGTTGTTGCAATAAAGGAGTTCTTAGTGATAGTAATTCATGTTATTAGTAATAAAGGAGTTATAGTAAAAAACATTTTTATGTCTAAGACACAAAGTCTTTAGAATTATGCCTAACATATAAACAATAAGTGATGAATATAGCAATGAGCTCTTTGACAACCTAAAAGGATGAGGTTTTAATACTAAGCAACAGGAAGCGCTTAGATATGAACATAATATTGACTGAATTTCTGTAGACAAAAGGCAGTCCAAAAATCCCAGTGGAAATGGGGCTTCAAAGACTTCAGGGAGGAGGGTCTGATTCCGGTGACTGAGAAGAAATACCCGCACAGCTGAGCACTAACAGGACTGACTGAGCAAATGCTGCTCCACTGAAGGCCACGCAGAGTGGGGCTTATGGGGTCAAGACAGAAGAACTCTTGGCCCTAGTCTACTGGCAGTGGGCATGCTGGACTGTAAGCCCACAGTGCACGCTGATGCCCAGCTGCTGGTGTCGTGATGTGCCATGAATGACCAGCCACCTGCACACTCCCCAAGCTGATGTGCTGACCCCTGGAGTCAAGGGCGTGGACGTAGAGGATTAGTGAACGATGATTAGTGGTCTGAGAGAGGCCCTCGGGTGTAGAACAATGCTCCACGCTTGCGGCAGGCACCCAGCAACCATAGCCCAGGGGACCCACAGCAGCAGATGTCAAACACCTCCTTCCCCAGCCATGCCAGCGGTACTCAGGCGACTCATGAGCAAAGTGGCCATGGTGACAGGGACGGAGGCAATACATTACTCACAGGGACTCCCGCCAAATGGACGACCATCACTGCTGCGTGCTCACTGTGCTAGCAGAGAACCAGCACCAGCCCTCCGATAAGCACAGGCTGGAAGGACCACCAGGTCCTGATAACAAGCTGATGAGACGTGGGGCCCCTCTCCCTACATGGGGCCCCTCTACCTGCGTGGGCAGTTGGGCATTTGTTGTGACCTGGACATACAGCTTAGATCAAGGTGCCCCCAACTCTCCCCTCTCTCCTGTGAGACTCTGTGGATGCCCTGATCGCTGCTTCTGACAAAGAAGTCCCCTAACAACAAATGGAAGGAGCAGCGCACTGTCCCTGGGCTCCACTGGCCTACGCGGCAGCTCAGGGCCAAAAAAGCTCATGGAGGACTCAGTCACGCATGAGCAAGGGGGTACTTCCCTGCAAGACGCAGGAAGCTCTGGGTCCACCTTCTCCTACTGTCAGAACAGATGAATCAGGAGATGAAAGCAACATCACTCGCAAAGTCAGGCTTAATAGGTAATTAACCTAACCTAGCCGTGCCCTGGAATTATGTCAAACACCTACTGAAAGTTCTTCTTGAGGCGCCACCCAATAGGCTGGGGCATGGACAACTGTATTTCTTTTCTTTTCTTTTTTTTTTAAGATTTATTTATTTATGCATACAAGAGCTAGGGTACAGGCCAGAGATGCAGGGGGTGAGAGGATCCACCAGAGACAGAGTGGGGAGCAGAACAGGAGGATCTACTGAAATCCACTGCTGAGGGGAGCAGCGGGCAAGACAGGAGAGGTCTGCTGCGCCATGTGGGTTGCTCCCTGGCCGGGGATCGCTTGTGCTGCAGAGGCTTCGGATTACTTCATAGTGTGGTGCTTAACCCCTTGCACCACCAGGGAGGCCTGACAACTATATTTCAAACAAATATCACAAGAGTCCAATATAGAACCATGTTTTAGTCAAATAATAAACCAAACTGACTGACTAACCCAGATAACATACCCAGGTTCTCCAAATCTCAATTTCCTACATATAAAATAAATATCTCTCTCATCATTTTTGCAAGAACATGCAATAATACACATATTAGGGCCACAGAGTGGCAGATTCACTGCAGCCACTCAATGCACAAATGGTGACTTTTTCTACTGTGAAAGCTAGTAATTAGATGGACTTGTTTCATCGAATTACTAGGGAGCTAGACTGTCTAAATAGCTTTCTTGTTCGACACAGCCATTGCTCAACACATCCTGGTTGGTGGTCCCAGAACGTGGGCTTGCTTCGTAGTGATATGGCTCTTTCAATGAAGTGATAACAAGGATCAACATAAGCGATAGCACGTTACGAGATGTGAAAATTTCCTTCAGAATTGGTAATATTTAATAATGTGGTTAATAAAAATAACTTAGTCTTGCTTAGCTTATGTAAAAAAGGAAGCAGTTGCTGTGACTATATCCACATAGAATAACCATGTGTTAGAACAGTTAGCAATTATTACGACACTGAATATCAACTTTAACTTGACAAAATGTATGACACCACACGATGGGCAAAAAAAGCAAATACAAGATTACACTTTATAAAGTCTATTCTGTGAAGCATGCGGAGACAGCAGACGTGAAGGAACTAATGTAAACGCAGTGGCAGTGACACCACAGACACCTCTTCTCAGTGTCATCGTACTTTCTATACGATCACAGAAGCAAAAGTTTCTAGAAGCAAAACTCTAAGAACTACTATTTTATTTTATAACAGGATATAATAAGGACATAGGTTTAGAGTGCTACATGTTATGAAACTGAGCAGAGTGACACAATTTTCTAAACAGTATCACAAATATATCATCTTGGACAACATGTCCATATAATTTCACCTGAAACCCTGCTCCGCGGTGTTGATGTAAATATGCATGAATACAATAAACGATCCCAAAGCACATCATGTAAAGTGACCGACAGACTTACAGCCATTGTCTATAGTGAACATTACCTTTGCTTTGTCCCTCATGGAACCTTTTCCAAGAATGGACATTTTTGTCAACGTCTCTTCCTGCAAACGCTTCAGAGAATTGCCACGTGGACCCAAAAGTTTCCCCACAAAGTTGAACTAGGAAAAACAAACAGAGAGACCAGGTCTGTGACGTGCACTTGCAGAGGCCGCGGGGTGGGGGGGGCGGGCTGTGCCACCCGGACGTGGGGCCGCCGGCGCGGAGGGGCTTCTGCGCTCGGGGAACACGGGGCTGGCAGCTGTAAAACTGAAGAAAGCAGGTGCGTTTCTTTCTAACCCCCTCATCGATGTCCATATTTCACAAACTATAAATGAGTCCCCCGGAATTCTAAGCTGCCATCCTGCCGGTCTCAACACCTGCTCAGCATCTGCCTCGGACGGTGCAAGGCCCGGGAGGGTGGGAGGGAAGCAGCCCGGGATGGGGAGCCCCTGGGCAGCAGAGCCGGGTTCAGGCTGGCTGGCTCCAAGGGGCTCACACCTGCGGCAAGCGCCCTGCCCCACGGTAGTCACGCACCAGTGCCTGACAGAAGCTTGAGAACAAACCCACATCTTCTAGAATAACCCGCTACGGGGACATGGGTGCTGCATCTGCCGCGAGGCTCAGGGTGCTCTTGTTTGCCACAGGGGAGAAGTGACTTCACTCCGGGTGTGGGCTCCGAGGCCAGACGGCTATCGTTGGAGGCCCGACGCCCCCACTCACCGGCAGAGTGAGCCCGTGCCAGGGGCTACCCGGCTAGCCCTGGTCTCCTCCTCTGCCGAGCAGGAACGGGGAGTGACAGCAGGGCCTGTCCTCGCGGCGCTGAGGACAGTGGTCCAGGCTACGCAAGCCCGCAGAGCAGGGCCCGGCATGCAGCAGACGCGCAATGAACAGCTCTTGCGCAGAAGACTCACTACCAGGAATTTCAGGCAACTTTTGAAAGCCTTGCTGTAAGGAGGGCAAGTCAAGAGCGGTTCTTGGTCCTAAATAGAAAGTCGGCCCTGTTTACTGGGTCAGAACTCTTGTCTTTGCAAGATTCTTTACTGCAAATGCTGGTCCCCATGACCCGCATCCCTCTGGGATGACCCCTGGGATCGCACCCCACTGGACCAGCCCCCCATGATCGTTGGCCCTCCGGGCTGGCCCCCATGACCCACACCTCTCCGGGGCTGACCTCTGGGACCAGCACCCCTCTGGGCAGACCCCCATGACCCTCTCCCCTCCAGCTGGCCCCCATGACCCGCACCTCTCCAGGCTGACCCCCAGGACCCGTACCCCTCTGGACCCACCCCATGACGCTCGCCCCTCCGGGCTGGCCCCTGGGATGCCACCTCTCCAGGCTGCTTTTGCCTTGAGCATAACAAGGGCTCTTCAACTCACCAAGACACGCAACTGAAATATGTACTAAAAATCAAAATGATCTAGTTCCTTCACGACTTTTAACTTTCTTAGTCTTCAACTAAAGCTATTTTTACGTGTAGTTGATTTTTGCTTTTTAAAATTTAAGTAAATTATTTTAAAAATATACAGAAATGATATAGAATTTAAAATGTCAAACACTACTACAAAGTGGAAGGAGAAGTCAGTGTCTCAACCTCCACTCCCCACCCCACCCCGACACCCTTCCTGTCTCTCCCTATTTTCTCTGCTTTATGTTTCTGGAAATCTTATAATTTGGACATTGGACCTCCTGCACTGGACCGCCAAGTATCTCTCTTATTTTCACTGTTTCATCTTTTCTCTTGCTTTGCTTTACTTTCAGGGCAATTTCCTACATATCTATTGAGTTTTCATTTCTGCTATCACATGTTAAAATGAGTATTTTCTTATATTTGTTCCTTTTGTGGCATCTTAGAGATATTTTGTGGAAGTCACAAATCCTTATCTTCCTGAGGATGCGGCTGATGGGGCCCTTGATGGGGCCTCACCTGACCCGCCCCGCAGGCCCTGGCACCCCAGGCTCCCGCGCAGGCCTCTGTGCGGTGTGCCCAGCGGCCCGGCGACCCTCGGCCACCTGCCCTGAAAAAGCCGTCACTGGCAGCTCGATGTCCGCACCGGCCTTGCCTGCTCACCATGACAGGAAACCAGGCTGCTCGTCAACGGTGGGGCAGGCAGCAGGGTCTGCAGTTCTCTTGCCCTGGGCGGGTATGTATGTCCAGGACGGGGCACCCGGGCCTCCCATAGGAGAGGAAGCACGGCTGAGGAATACAGAGGACCCCGTCGGGAAGCAGCAGATCCTTGAAAGGACACCACCCCCTAGTTTTCAGCTGCCGCTCCTCCAGCGCTCGGGCCCCAGCCCCGCATCTGTCTCTCGCCGGGTCTCTTCAGGAACGCTCTGGTCTGCTGCTGACAAGAGGACACACCTGGGCCCATCAGCAGGGCAGAGAGACACCCACCGGCCCAGCTGCTTCTCCACAAACCTCAACCAAGTCCCCTCTTTTAGTTCACCCCATAAATGCACCTTGAGAGTAGCTGGGACCCATGATCCCCAGTTCTCTGCGAGGGTTTCTCACACTTTCTGAGCTGGCCTCTGGCTGACTTTCCCTTCCTGCAAGCTCGGGATTCCGCTACACCAGTCTCCTAAGTCAGGACATTTATCCACTTATTTTGCAGCGACCAAAATATGGCCGGCGTCACCTGCCTGTTGTCTCACGCCCCCTATTCTGTTTTCACAGACGTGTGCCCTTTGAAGGCATTTCTATTCATGCCAGTGGGTGTCAAGAATAGAGTAAAACATGTTTCTGTGGTCAATTATATTTATATCACATCTTAAATCACTAAATATTTCCAATGAATAAAAATTAAGAGACCTTAGAATCACCCAGTCAAACATCTAAATTTATACTGAGTCTGAAGTCCACAGAGTAACACGGTTCACTGAAGGTCACTTGAGAAAACATAAAAACAGAGAATTCTACATGAGAAGGAAAAACAAATGACTTCCTCTGCCCTTAGCTTCTTTCTCCAGTTAACTTCTGTTGGTCTTCTGTTCACAAAGCGCACCTGTCAGTCCTCGATGTCTCTGGCTTTTGCCCTTCCTGCGCCCCCACGTGCCCCATGTGCCTCCCCCACCCCACTGGGGCAGAGCTCAGGGTCACAGCCTCCTCACCGACAACACAGGGACCACCCCGCCTTCTGTGGGCACCAGTCGTGGAAATTAATTGCGAAAATGCACAAAAGTCGCCTGCCACAGCATGCGCAGAGGTGCTTCCTCTGTCCCAGGTCAGTAAGTGACCAGCTGCTGTGGACACGAGTCATTTTCCATGAGCGATGTTCGCCCTGCACTGAGCACGGAGCCCCCACCCCCACCAGGGGGCGCCTGAGGCGGCCTCGGCACTGAAACAGTGAGGCCACGTGGGGACACGTCTGCACCAGGTCCAGGCCACGCCCAGGCCATGCCCAGGCCACCCAGAGGCTTGGCCTCTCTCTGACCAGAAGCCAAGGGAGTCAGGTGCTCATGGGCTCTCAGAGCTGAGCGCAGCTCAGCTGGCCCCACAGTGGCAACCAGCTGCGCCGCCTGGCCTTGGGTTGCATCACTGCCCGGGGGACATCCAGAAATATTCAGCCTGTGCGTTTGGTTGTCAGGTGACAGGACACTGCTAGCTAGAATGACACGCATCCGAAGGGGATGGGCGCGCCCGTCACAAGGGAGTTGTGCAAACTGCCAGGGGCCTCTGTGTGCAAAGCTGCTAGAGAAGATCACAGAGCAACGCCCATGCCCGGGGGAGCCCTTGATACCATGCTCTCGGGTTGCAAATGCAGTTCCCTCGCGGATTCTACCAGCAATTCTCGTCTAGTTAAAAGGAACAAACCCTCTGAAGTAAGCCGCTCGGCACTTACAAGGCCTCGGTAACGTGCTTGGTGTGTATTTTGGACCCTTTAAAGGGCGTCCAGCGGTACGGCTCTCTTAGTTGCCACTATTCCTGTGACGATCCACAGGTGTGGCCGTGGGCACGAGGCTGAGGAGCCGCTGTTCTCCGGAAGGTGCCCATGGGCAGTACCTGAGCCCGCTCACCCTCAGCTCCACCAACTTCATACCAACAGGTCGCCATGCCGTTAAAACATGTCAGATGATGCTGGGCACCGGGACAGCGCTGAGCTCTCCCTGAGCCCTGGCCTCTGAAAACGTGGACGACTAAGCACACCTCCTGTCACTGCAAACAACCTCCTTCCCCACGAGACTCGTGAGATGTGGGGCAGGACCACCTCCCAGGACAGACATGGGCCTCCAGATGCCCACTCTTTGTCCCAGAAAAGACTAGCTGACCACGTCCCATCAATCTGAGCAGGCCCCTTAACCTGACTTCTCTACTCTTAGCTGTGACCTCATTTCCTCGGGCCCCTCCACTGCAGCCCGACACCAGAACCCGCGGCTGGCATCTCGCCTAAAGGTTCAGCCTGAGAGCCATCAGCCACCTCACCCACATCTCCCTCTATACCCTGCAGACCATGTGGACAACACCACCCAAAAAGAGGGTTTTTCTGTCTGACCCCAGAGATATGCCACATCTCAGAGCTATGCCCCCGAACCCCTACTACCTTGGCCCCGTAGGCCCATATCCTTTCAAACTAAGTCTCTCCTTCCTTAAGTGTGGGTTTGTGCGTGATAACTGTACTGTAAGAGAGACAGAACTTAACACATTCACTCTGTGTTTTTATTAACTTCATTTAGCATACAGATTTGCAAGGTAGGGCAAAGTGTTACCTGTAAGCCTCATGGTTTTTCTCCAGATGACAGTTATTCTATAACAAATATATTTTCATATGAAAAGATCTACCCCTGTAAGTAGGAAACGTTGCACAGATCATAAGAGTGGTAAAACATCACACACCGAGGACGCTTGAGTTTTGCTGCATAATGTATAAGAGCCAATAATTATGTTCTTTGTTGCTGATGACCATGTGCCATCTGAACTGGCTTTAATTGATCTAAACTATATTTGTGACATGGCCCTGCTCTGCAGGGAACAATTACAGTTAGGCTGTCATTTCATAAACAAGGAAGCCTCGAGAACATGTCACTGTCTCCGTTCAAAGGTTTCCCTAATTGGGTCTCACCACAAAGTTGATTATTCTAACAAGGGGTGTTTTATTGACCTCTACCTCAACACAAAAACTGAAC